CCTATTAAGGCCATCATTTGTGGAGTTCCTTCGTGTCCCCTGACAATAAACATCTTGAATAATTTAAATTACGTTTCATGAATGAAAAGTTTGGCGACAAAGCAAATGCTTAGCGATCGAGTGATTTGCTGTTGCAGAAACAGCAGCAGTTAGCTGGTGCCACTGCCTCTGACCCAGTGTCAATCCGAGTCAAATGCAAATCAAGAGTTCGACTTGAAATGTTTTTTTCAGTTTGTTTTGGGGTTTTTTCGGCTGCCACTTGGCTGGCAGATTGTGACGGTGGTATTGATGCTTGTGCTGGTTGCTCGCTTGTCGAAGGTGGCGGTGGTGCTGGTGGTAGCAAAAAAATGTCTTGCCGTTTCCATTTCCAATTTCAAATCCATTTCCATTTGTTTTGTTGGCTTTGATGCAGTCAGTGGCTTGAGATCAGGTTAAATGGATCACGACTGGCACGGATTTGTTGTAAAGTGTTTCTTTTGCTGTTGTTGCTGTAGATTTCAATGTGAGTCTGCATTGTTGTCGATGTTGTTGTTGCATTTGTTGTTTTGTCGTTATTCATTGGATTTAGCGGCGGCATTAACAACTGATGAAGTGGTTGTAAATTGCACAACATACAACACAAGTGACGAAACATTGCTACCAATTCCGAACAGGTGTGAGTGACTTGAATTTAAACTCCAAACTCCATCACAACTCAACCACAAGACAATAACGACAACCACAACAATAACACCATCAGCAACACTGAACTACATTCAAACATACACACACACACACAGCGATTTTTGTGTTATATATAGTCAAGAATTTTTACGATATCAACTTTGATGTTTGACCATGTTTTGACATATTTGTATGTGCGGGGACAGTGCTGTAAAAATAATTTGTTCTATGTTGAAGACAATTAAGAGTTTAAGAGTCGTTGTATATTGATTGCCGGATGTGAAAAGGATATTTGAGTTTTATTAAAAATTAATGTTTGAAATTGAGAAATGAGACTGACGAAATATAGCATCTTACGAAGTCATTACAGTAGCCACCAATATATAGTAGTAAAATGGAGCAAATGACATATTATATGCATCATAATCCACCCTAAGGTAGTATCCTGCAAAAATTAAACTTAATACAGTTCCTTGTATTAAATCATTTTCGACACTGTGGTACAAGGTATTATGTGTTTGTGGATATGCTTGTAACTGGCAAAAGGAAACGAGATAGACCCATAGTTCCTTTTGAGAGTATGTATAGAATCATTTCGTCCAATGTAATATTTTCGTCCAATGTAATGTGCAAAAGCACATGTATTCTTTTTGATTTCTAGAATAAATTGGAAATTTGGTCAATTGGGATAAACTTTTTCGAGACGTACTGATGTTAGTATAGCTTAATGTTTGTCATGTTATGTAGAAACCGGTTTATATTTTGTTATAGCTTCCATATATATTTTTTCCGATTTTAGGTAAATAGTGCACCAAACAACTAATGTTAACTTCCATATATATTTTACCGACTTTATGGTAATTATGCATCAAATTATCAACGGGTTTCCGATTGAGATAACATTTTCGATTTACATGTCTTTATTCTTGATCAGCGTAAAATTCTATGACGATTTAGCCAAGCCCATCTGTCCGTCTGTCTGTCTGTTGTAATCACTCTAGCGAAGATGGGCTTTATCGGTCCACGTTTAGGCATAGCTCCAATATAAGGGTACCCCCCAATTTTCGGTATTTTGAGGTTCTTGAGCGCCTTTTTCAACTGAATTCGCTAAAATTTGGTATATTGAGTTCTTATTGGGAAGCAAATCTCCCCACTAAAAATTATAAATATGGGTCCATATTTTCGGATAGCCCCCACATAAAGGTACCCCCAATTTTGCGGTATTTTGGGGGTTTGATCACATTTTTCGATCGAATTCGCTGAAATTTGGTACTTTGAGTTCTTATTGGGTAGCAAATCTCCCCACTAAAAATTATAAATATGGGTCCATATTTTCGGATAGCCCCCACATAAAGGTACCCCCAATTTTGCGGTATTTTGGGGGTTTAATCACATTTTTCGATCGAATTCGCTGAAATTCGGTACTTTGAGTTCTTATTAGGTATCAAATCTCTTTACTAAAAATTATAAATATAGGTAAATTTTTTCGGGTAGCCCCCATATAAGGGTACCCCCCAATTTTCGGTATTTTGACGCGGTTTTCAACCGAATTCGCTGAAATTTAGTATTTTGTAGTCGTATATGGTAATAAATCTCCCCAACAAAAATTATAAACATTCACCCCTTTTTAGGGGTAGTCCCCATATAACCCCCTTTTTATACCCTCCACCATAGTATGGAAAGTATATTAATTTTGTTTTTCCGTTTGTAACTCATCGAAAACAAACAAATGTCAGTCAGTGTTGCCGATAGGAAGGTCATCGAAATTAAATCTGAACCGATTCCAACAAAACTTCGCATACATCAATTAGTGTCTAATCCTATACTCTGTGCAAAATTTTGTCCCAATCGGAGCACCATTTACCTAAAATCGGACGAATCTATATACGGATCAAAAAAATCGACCTGTACTTTGTTCACAAAAATACATGGACGGACAGAGGGACGGGCGGACAGACGGACATGCGTAAGTCGACTCAAAAAGTGATTCTATGCATATTCTCAAAAGGAACTATATGTCTATCTCGATTCCTTTTGCCTGTAACAAAGATATGCACAAAGACTAATACCCTGTACTACAGTGTGATGAAGGGTATAACAACGTAGCTGAGAAATTACTTGAAATATCAACATATGTCAAACATGAACTCTATCTCTAATTCCTTTCGAAAGGAAGAATTCAATTCCTCCACCATGTGCCGTAAACATTTCCTAAAAATTTCGGGAACTTTTTGTGGTGACTATGTCATTGTGAATTGTGTACTAGAAGATTAAATACCAAATAACTTACTTACTTAGCTGGTTTGTTACAGAACCGTTCTTCCATTATCCGAGCTTAAAAAACGATTTTCAAGCGCGTCGGTCTCGTGCGCATCTCCTCCAATTTGAAAGACCACGTTCCAAGATGTTGTTTTCTACTTGGTATTTCCATCTAATTCGTGGCCTTTCCCTTCTACGGGAACCCAGACTTTTATATGCCTTTTGAGCTGGGGCATTCTCATTCATTCGCACAACATGGCCTAGCCACCGTAGTCGCTGCAGCTCAATAGGACTGACTATGTCGATGTCCTCGTATAAATTGTAGAGCTCGTGGTTCATTCGACGCCGATATTCACTGTCGACGAAGATCGGTCCATAGATCTTTCGGAGAATTTTTCTTTCAAACACTCCAAGAGCTGTCTATGCTTTAGATCCATATAACAGCATGGGTAGTATCAGCGTCTTGTAAAGTGTGAGTTTGGTCTGGCGGGAGGTGGCCTTGTTTCTAAACTGCTTACTTAGACCATAGTAGCATCTGTTGGTCATCACAAAACCAAATTACAGACTAAATTAAGCGCAACCCATGCATGGAATGACCTAAAATAAGATATTGTGAGATAGTGTGATTTTTGGTGAACTATTGTGGAATCGGATAAATCTATATACGGATACTATATCTAAATCGGAACCGATTTTCTTCAAATTCCATAGGATTCGTCCTTGGGCCAAATAAGTGAGACCCAAAACAAAAGCTGCTGTCGCACAATTTGAGGATGATTGCTTACTCACTTGGGAGATTGGGCGAGAGAGAATTTAACTTTTTGAGACACTGTGGAGCAACTGGCCGAAAATATTTTTTAGCTGACCACCAACAAGGCTTTAAATTATATCACAAAATATATCTTAAATTCATGCAGTATATCGAGCTATATGGTAATTCGACCAATTATTACATTAAGTAGTTGGACCATTGCTTCCAAAATTCTATAGAATTTAGAATAGAGGATGATTCATGAGCGAAAGAGACCCACAAGATTTTATGGGGAAACCCAGATTTAAATAAGACTTAGCAAATCTTAATGTTTAACAATAAGGAAATCAGTAGTCTAACAGGTATTCTCACAGGACATCTCCACCATTATTTTTGACTCGCACCCATTTTCACTCGCACCAATTTTCACACGATTGAGTGCGAGTGAATTAGTATAGAGCTCACAACGGACCATTTCACTGTCATATGTGTATGCCCCCCATTGGACATGTGGTGCAGTAAATCGTCCCTCTTTTCAATTTAATCTACGCTAATTCCCTTTTCTTGTTATGGAATAAATACTCTCACGATAATATTAGTATTTATTACAAATTTAAATACACCACACTTATATAGTCTAGATATTTACATACATTAATTAACCAAATTTCCTGGCTCACAGCATGTCTTCACAGATATTACGAAAACCACCATGCCGTTTGGCCGGCCAACAAGATATTGATTGCATTTCGTTTGAAAACGGCCACTGCCTTTAGGGGGGTCATCAATAAACATGGCTAACTTGGTCAAATGTAATGCTAATTGCCAGATATCAACAACGACATCAGCGCCTCTATGACTTCATACTGTGGAGGTATTGGCAATTGAAGCAAATTCTTTTTGGGAGGCCCAAAAACGCTTGATCATCGTCCGCGTCGCCATCATCATCGTTATGAACAAGTGTTATGGCAATAATTTGTCAGAGTCTTGTTGTTGGTCAAAATAAAACCATTAAAATGATTTATAAACTATGAAACAGCAAGAACAACAACAAAACGGATAAAGTCGTTTTGCAGATTTTTGTTGATGTTGTTGTTGCTGTTGGTACTATTGATAATTTGCCGTCAAAATTATTAGAAGTGATCATTACTCTCTGGGTGGACAGACTGACTGACTGGTGGTGATGTTATGCGATATGCCAATTTAAGAGATTGTAAATGATTCGCAGCTCTAAAACGATGTCGTTTTTTTATGATGACGTCGTGGAAAAAAGCAAACATTTTCTAATAAATCTCCACTTTTCCTTTTCTTGTGTTTTGTTTTGCAGGATCTCACAGCCAAGGCTACAAATCATCATCTTCATCAACACAATCATCATCAGCCGCCACCACAGCACTGATTAAAAGCAATTACAACAGTTTATCATCGGCACCATCATCATCATCCTCGTCAAGTGCTTTTCGCAGCAACGCATACACCAGCAATAACTCACACAACCACCACAATAGCCGTAGCTCACCATTCTCCTCAGCCTCTGCATCAGCGTCAGCCCAAATGGCTTTAAATCGTCAATATTCGACATTTTCAAGTGCCTCAGCAGCGGCCGTTACAAAACTGCCCATACCACCGTTTTTAGCCGCCTCGCCATTTCTTTTCACCTATCGGCGTCTCAAGGATGAGGCCACGAACAATGGTGGCGGTAGCAGTGGTTTACCCTATATGGGTGGTGGTGGTCACAGTAATGGCAGTTCATCTGCAACCTCGCAAACGGCTTTGACATCTTCCCTGCATGCTCACTCGCCCATTGGTTCCTCGACCTCGTCGTTTTCCAGTGCCAATTCGGGCGTAACGAATGGAGCCAATAATGGCGGCGGTGGCAGCAGTACGACTTCATATTTTCAAGACTATGATCGCAAGTTTAGCTTGTTGAGCCTATTTAAGAATCCCTATAAATATACCATGGAACGTAGGGCTGCTGTGCATGTACCACCCTCCGCCTTTGGTAGTGGTGGTGGAGCCGCAGCTGCTGCCCTATCATCGGCCTTTTCAATGGCCAGTCCAGCGCTAACGGCCTCGGCCTTTAGTCCCACCGCCCATGCAGCTGCTTTAAGCCATAAAGTCCAAAGTGCCAATGCATCGGCGGCCACATCGCCATGGAAGCTAATGGCCGAGGCGCATCATCACCAAAGTTCGCCATTTAGCCATTCATACCACCAGGGGGCGTTCAGTGCAATAAACAGTGGAGATCGTAAGAATACCTTTAGTAGTATAGTACCGGGTGGGAGTAGTGCCTTTGGTCGGTCCACAGATGCGGGTTCAGTTAGTGGGGCAGCGGCGAATGGTTGTGGCAATGATGCGGCCAAAAATCGTAAGGTGCACAAATGTGACAATGAAGGATGTGATAAAGTTTATACGAAAAGTTCTCATCTGAAGGCACACAAGAGGACGCATACAGGTATGTTCACAATCATCACTTCTATAAAGATTTAATTTGTTCCAAAATTCCAATCCCTGATTTTTTTCATATTCTTAAATCCTATTTTTTTTATTTCCAGGCGAAAAACCCTATGTCTGCACCTGGGAAGGTTGTGTTTGGCGTTTTGCCCGTTCCGATGAATTAACCCGCCATTATCGCAAACACACCGGCGTCAAGCCCTTCCGCTGTCAACTCTGCACCCGTTCATTTAGCCGTTCGGATCACCTATCTTTACATATGCGTCGACACTGAGGGAATGAATTTTCAATCTGTTGTTGACAACAATTTAGATCAATTCATGTTCATACTAAACCAACAACTACAACCTACAGTTCGTAGTTAGCCAATTCTAATTTGTAAATTTTTTAATCAATACTATATGATATTTAATTCTTATATTATAGCCTAGACAGACGACAGCCTTAATTTGCATTAACAGCCTTTTTAACTTGTATTATCCTCATTTTTATGTGTTGTTAATGCACAAAATCAAACTTTTGTACTGAATTAAGCAATTTCAATATGGCAATGCTGTAGAAAAAAATTGATTGTTGTCAAATTTGTTTACGTTTACGAAAATAAAAATTAAAAATAGAGGCAAAATTCAACATTTCTTCAAATTTGGAGCTGTTTTATCTTTATTATAAAAAATTTCAAAAATAAGCAAAATATCAGTGAAATTAAGGTTACAATGATTTACAAAATACGAAGGTAGATGAAAGGTGGAGGAAAAGAACACCCAAATTAATATTGCAATTAATTCTACAAACCGTAAAAATTAGTAGAAATTCAGTTGTTACCAATTTCTGCCCAACTGTTGATCGATTTAAAACAATAAATGCCTAAATTCGGTAGGACTTTTATATTGGTGCTATATCGCGGTAAATGGTAGGATAAAACGAAATGCCACATACAGAAAATTGGGCCAGGAATTTAAAAATAAATACAAAACATGAACTCATATTCAAAATGTTCTGTGAAGAAGCTGTTTAACTAAGTCCTTCAAAATACATATGTATAAATATCGACCAATATTTATAAATTTTAGTATCAACCCAGATCGAACTCAAAATATTAAATTAGGGTCAACTTGAAAAAGTTGTTATCGTATGATGTAGTCAGCCCCATCCAAATTTGGTCAATACTTTACTTATTAAACTTTGCAAAAATAATAGAAACCAGTAAGGAAAGTTAAAAAGTCGGACGGGCCGTCTTTTTATACCCTTCACCACATTGGGTATATGCAAGGGATGCTCATATGTACAATTTCCTGTAGATAGAACAGACATAACATCTTTGGAGGACCATTAAAATGTAATCGGGCGAAATTAAATTTGTGACCAATATAGATATCTTGTAAAGTGTGAGTTTGGTCTGGCGGGAGGTGGCCTTGTTTCTAAACTGCTTACTTAGACCATAGTGGCATCTGTTGACCATCACAATCGTTGCTGCGTTTTCACATCAGTAGCATTACGACACTCCTGATCGTACCATGGGTTTCATGGTGGTGGTTTTTGGTACCGAAGCGTTGCTTTTGCTGCAGTTTGTAGGGAGTGGGCAATTCTTTTGCAGCTTTTCGACGTCGAGTTTCCGTGTTGTGTTAGATCGCACCTTTGCTGGTACATTAAGACGGATGAACAACCGTGGCATACACCATTTGCTATGCTGCAGCACAGTACGCTGTCCACAACTTTATCTCGCTAGTAGAAACCTTTATACTGGATGAATGCCTTCCGTATATCACAACATGATCAATTTGATTTATTTGCTTAATCAGGAGAGATCCAAATTCCTTGTGTATATCGAGAAAATTGAGTTATCTGGTGCTGCTAACTGAACCGATTTTTGCTGCCGCGATGTCAATCAGCCTCATGCCGTTGTCTGATGTTTCTTCAAAGAGGCTGAATTTTCCGACGGTGGAGCCAAAGATATTTTCCCTGGATTTATATATTAAAATCTCGCCATTAAAACAAAACTTCATAATCAGCAAATTGGGTTTAATTCAGTACGCTTTGCTAAATTTTGTCGCAATCGGTCAAATAGGGTTCGTCCTTGACGCAAATGCATTTCTGTAAATTGAAGTGTTCTAATCAAAATCCATACAATAGCGATAACAAATAATAGGATCCTTTATACGTTTGCGGGGTCAACATTAGAGGGTTTGGTTTTCATTTTCTTTTCATAGTATGTTGGGTTTTCCGAGATTGGGCAAAAAAATGTTTTTTTTTTAATCTGACTTTCCAGTAATCGATATGATGTATGTTTTACTTGGGCCTGTGTAAAGTTAATTTAGTTTGCAAATAGGGTCGGTTAACTACAAAACGTGACTGACAGTTGGACATACACTTAAGACAGTCAAGTCCTGCGGTGCGCTCTAGAACGAAAAAATGTTAGAAAAGCTTGAGATTGGTCTCCATATACTTCAGTCTTTTACTTTTCTTAATATTGAAGTCATGATATTATCATTTACCAATAATAGATTTGGAATGTTTGAAAAGCTGGCAATGACCCTTGTGACCAGTGATTCATACAAGACCTTTTTGTTGTTAATTGGTTTTATGTACTGCTCTCCAGTTCAAATTGTTATTAGTCTTGCTTTCAACCCCGCTTACGTGGTCAGTCCCTGGGTCTTCAATAAAAGTCACAGCTCTGTGCCAGTTCTGCCCTTTCGACCAGTTGAGAGTCATATGTGTAACAACAGTTATCACAAGAAGTAAGTAGCTGTTGGACCATGTACCAAGTTTTTACAGCCGATCCGTGCCCTAGCGCCGGAGGGGATTTGGTATTATCGGTTTCACTTTAATAGTCTCAGCACAACTTTTTGATCTTAATGTCTAGACTGATTGTTGCCGAATGGGGTCAATGTATATTCATTCATGTCCGTTCTTCTGTTAAAATCACGATAAAGTTCACAATATTCAAGATAGACCCTTGAAATTTATGCCATATATTGCTACTACACCTAGAATGTTTGGTATTAAAAATGGTCCAAGTTTTGGTACAGCCCCCATGTTCGGCATTTTGGGAATTTGTGCAATCAAATTGGCTATCATTTCTTTTGTTGAGTTTTCTTTGGGTCACACATATTTCTACCAAAACATATCAATATTTGTCGACTTTTTACGATATCCCTCCTATAAAGGTACCCCCACATATTCCGTATTTTGGGAAGCAAATCTACCTACATTGGGTAGCAAATCTACCTACCAAAATGTATCAACATGTGTTCTATTTTTACGATAACCCACATATAACGGCACCTCCTAAATGTCAGTATTTTGTGGAGAATGGGCACATTTTTCGGCCGATGTCATTGTATTTGGAATTCACATTGAGTAGCAAATCTTCTATTACAAATTATCAGTATGGGTCTACTTTTTATGACAGCCGCCCCCCATAACGGCACCGACTATAATTGTGTATATTAAAGGTCGTTTACATTTAACCGGATTTGGTTAAACCAGTGGGTTTAAATTTTCAATTCCTTTGAATATATGCCAAAAAAATCCTCATAAAGTAGGTTAAGCGGTAAAAAGTTCTAATGTAAATGCCGTATTTAGTATTATGGGCCCGTTTTTAGCCAGAATTGGCTTTAATTTCATTCTCATTGGGTGTCAAATCTTCCTATCAAAAATTTGCTGTGGTACAGCCTCCGATATACATATATAAAAATACCGAAAGTCAGTCCGACCGAATTTCATTATGTTTTTGCTTGCTTTTTTCTTAATTTAATAATCCATAAAACAAAAACATAATCTAAACATAAAAATTTTCCTTAAAGACTTATAAATCATATAATTTTCAGATTTCTTATCTGTTAACATTTTTAAATAAAATTTATTTTTTATTTAACAAAGTGTATAGCTTCCTGATTTCTACACGGATCTCCTTCCATACCTGTCTGTCATTGTAACCGTCACTCAAAGCCAATTGGATGTCTATTTTAAATTATACATATACATTTTATTCAATTTAATGCTCAAGGAGGCCTTAAGCAAAAAAATTCTCATTTATAAACTAAAAAAAAAATTGAACAAAAAATAATTAAATTATTTTTAGACAATAACACAATAAATCAAATCAAAAAATTCTAGGAAAAATAAAATAATTAAGCTACACTTTTTAGAATCATCACCTTGTTTTTAAATTAAAAAAAAAATATTTATTGTTTTCTCTCTCCCTATCTTCCATTTCTCTTTATATAGTGTAAATGCATTGTTCTATCTATTGTTTGTACAATATATATATATAAAAATAAAATAATATATACTTATGTACAATTGTATTTGTATTTAGATTTAGTTTTATTATTTTAATTTTATTTTTTGTGTAACGTATTTATTTTTTTCCATTAAATTTAGTAACCATTTTTTTATATGTAACGATTTTATTTGTTCGTACTTGTAGTTAGTTCAATTTTGTACATAGACAAAAAACAACAAAAAGTAGTAAAGTACATATCTCCTGCTCACTGCTCTCTGTCGCTGTCCCTGTGTGTGTCACTGGTGGCCAGCGGTCAGTGGTTACACTTGAAACAAAGCCATGTGCCAACAGAAAATGCTGGTACATACTATACTCGTACTCATACCTATCTAAATCGGGTATCTAATATCTATTACAATAACAGCGACAACAACAACATGAAATACAAACATACTAAGTATGAATGTATACAGATTTAATTAGAGAACCAAAAACAACTAAAACGAACAATCAAACAAACAGACAAAACCAACTAACCTACCAACCAGCCAACCGACGTACTAACCAACCAACTAAACAAAACAACAATCATAAAACATTCCATCCTAGATCATTGTTTTTGTTATTTTTATTTGTTTGTTGTTGTTAGTGTTGTTGCTCAGTTTTTTTATTTTTATTTTCTCGAATTTAAATTAACGAAAAATTTGCAATTGATTGCGGATAATAAAACACCAATTCTCACTCGCTCACTCACTTACTTGTCTGGCCGGCCAATCGACATCCGACAACGTCAATACACAATAATAACAATGACAACGACAACAATAATAACAATACCAATAACAACAAAGTAAACGAAAAACAATAATAACAACAACAACGATAGCAACTACACATATCAAGACAATAACCATTTGAATGGTGCTCAAAAATCTGTTAACTGTTTCTAAACCAAGTTTAGCATAGTTTATATATTTATACATACACATACACACATGTTTTGGTCTCTCACACATCATTCTAAACCTAGTTCAGTACGCTGTGCGAAA